AAACAAATAACTGTATTGGAACACCCTCTCTACTCACCTGATCTGGCCCCCAATGACTTCTTTCTTTAGACAAAGATAAAGGAAATATTGAAAGGAAGACATTTGGATGACATTCAGGACATCAAGGTAATATGATGACAGCTCTGATGTCCATTCCAGAAAGAGTTCCAAAATTGCTTTCAAGGGTAGACTAGGCCCTGGCGTTGGTGCATAGCTTCCCAAGTGGAATACTTGGAAGGTGACCACAGTGATATTCAGCAATGAGGTAAGTGGCACTTTTTCTAGGATGAGTTTGCAAACTTAAATTGTCCTATAATCACAGAATCACTTTTGATAATCCTAGAGATATCCTGGCAGATGGGGGGAAATGCTCATAAGAGAAAGTAAATTACAGAAACTGGGTGAGTCTGGAATTATAGATAAAATTCTAGAACATATTATTGTAAGTGGGTTGTGAACAAGCAGGAAGTGGTTCTCACAGGTAGCCAGGGATACCTCACAATGAGGAAGTCATATGACCTCACTCCTTTCCTAAAGCGGGGGAACTCAGTGACTTGAATGAAGACATGGTACATTTGGCTCAAGGTCAAGAGGCTTTGTTCCCAAGAGTGATTTGCAAGCTGTCCAAGATATGAACTCTTAACAAAAGTTTTGGCAGAGCTGGGAGCAGTGGGTCCTACAAGTAAAGGGAGAGGAGGGTTTCTGAACAAATATCTAGTATTGTCCATGGCTGGCTTGTACATGTCCATCTTGGGGAAACATGAGGGAGGCGTTAGCTGTGTTAAAAGGATCAGAGCTGGGTGGACACCCACAAGAAATTTAACAGTTTCTTTTAGAGCAGATGATAAGATAGGAGGGTGCTATCATGAATGGCGGTAAAGGTAACCTTTGTCATCATCACTGTCATCATCAAGATAGCAGCTAACCATTTTGGGGCAAGCTTACTATTTTGCTAAAAACAGTTCGGAAAGACTGACATTTTCAAAACCACTCTATAAAGAAAGAACTATTATTATCCCTTTTTACAGATGAGACAATTAGGGCACAGAGAGACTGAGTAACTGTTCAAGGTCATAGAACTAAAAGGGGGAAAAGCTGGTATTCAGTTTTGGCTTCAGAACCTGCTCTTGGGATCAGTTAGAAAAACACATGAACTGAAGTACTGAGTGATACATGGATTTCAATCTCAAAGGAAGTCTCGAGAGATATGCCCCCAGGTTCTCAATTTAGTGCTGTCTTGTTGAACATTTTTAAAACTGACAGGCATAAGGAAATGAAAAGATTGTTTATAAAATCAAGAATGACACAGGGCTGGCTGAGGGGCACATTGGTTAAGAACTGGCTTGGGATGCCAGAGGGCCCTGGTTCAGATCCCACATATGAAGGCCAGTGACACTGCCCTCTGCAGCTAAGATGGTGAACAACAGCTCAACCTAGAGCTGGGCTGCCATGAGTCACTGGCGACGGTGTAGGCTGCAGTCCCTTGCTGCAGTGGGTGGCCATAAGCTACCATGTGTAGCCAGCGTGAGCAGCCAGCAGCCACCGTGAGCGGCCGTCCAGAGGCCGGCGACTGATCTGCCTCACCTGGAAAGAGCACAATGATGGTGCCAGATTGGGCCAGTGAAGCAACATCCTCCACAACTAGACTGAAGAACAAAACAATAGCAACTTGTCTGTTCCCCCTTCCCCAATTCCCCAATAAAATCTTAAAAAAAGAAAAAAAAAGAATGACACAGAATTTGGAGGGATACGTAAGATTTTTGATGACAGAACGAGAATTCAAAAATATCTCAATAGACTACAATGATGACCTAAAAGTGACATTAAATTTAACAGGTACATAGGAGATCTTGAACTTGAGGTAAAAAGAAATCTCTACAAATACAGCACAACCAAGAGTGGGCTAATTTCAACTATTATTTCTCCTTGCAATGGTTCCTTACCCGTTAGAGCCAGCCAGTGGCCACGTCCTACAAATTCACCTCCTTAATGTCCCCTGTTCTGTCCCTACCTGCCACTTCCCCTGCCTCTCCTCTAACTCAGGCCCTCATCGCCTCTCTCATCTACGTCCACACTCTTGCCTGTCCAATCCATCTGACACAGAGCTCAGAAAATCTCGCTAGAGCACAGGTCTGCACCTGGTACCCAGTTTACTCTCAGTCAGTGGCTCCCCACTACCTCATTCAGGCCAGGCCCTTGAGCCTGGCATTCAAGGTCCTCCACCATTTTGGTTCAACATTCACCTTCTGCTTTTCCTTTTCCAACTGTTCCGCACCTCCTGACATCATTTTGGTTCCTTCCTTCAGCTCTGGAACCCTAAACTCTGTCTAAGTCCTCCTCACTCTTCACAAGGCCTCCTTCACATCCTTCATCAAGGCCTTCTTGTCCTCCTTCGGCGATTCCTTCCTCCTGGAGCACCTTACCATATTTTCTGTCATAAACTAATGCTGTGGGTAAATATGTGTCCTATTTCTTTGTCCCCTATTTCTTTTTCTATCCTCTACCAAGAATGCAAGCTCATGAAACCATAGAACCTGTGACTGATTGGATTCTTTATCCCCACACACTCATAGTGTTTTGGGTCCAGTAAATGTTCAATCAGTAGCTGACAAATGCAATGATAGGATGTAACAGGAGGTGCTGTGTCCAGCCCTGGGTCCTGCACCAGGGAGGTAATGGTTTTGCTGAAGTACAAAGGGCACACCTGGAACATGAGGCTCAGCTGGATGTGCCTTTCTAAGACAGGCCCTGCCAGGCTAATGGGCAACAGAGAAGGAAGATTGGGATGGTTTATAGACCCAAGACATATCAGCAACTAGGACTGTTCAGTCTAAGGGGGGAAAAAAGACTAGATGGACCGTGATAGCTATCGTCACATATTCGAAAGGCTTTCATGTAGAAGATTAAACTCATTTGGAATTACTGCAAAAAAAAAAAATCAATGTGTCCAATGGACAGGGGAACACCATTTCAAAGCAAGAAATTGTTCAACAATGACCAGTCTGCTTTGTGGAGGTAGCAAGCTTCCCATCACTTGACACGTGGAGAGGTAGGACGATAAATGATGAGAAAAATGTCTCCTTTGATTTCAAGCTATTTGAAATTTCTGTGGCACAGAAATTCCAGTCTTAGACGGCTACCCATGAGTAGTGGCTTTTACATTTTTATTTGTGTATCCCTTAAAGGAATTTTGAAAAATGATATTCTCCTTCCCACATTTAAAAATTGATATTTAATATTTTTCAACGTGAATTTAAATGGTAGCAAAAGATACATTTTTTGGGCACATTATAAATAGTGACACTTTAAAATCATTATTTTAAGTGTACCCAATGGAATCTCAATAGCATTATACATTTAAAATATATATATATAAATAAGCTCTTCTTTGACAGTTGGATATTTTTCATTTTTGTCTTTGAATTATTATTTTTATCTTAGTTCCTCACTGAATTTTATCCATTAGGAATATATATATATATATATGTATATATATATATATATATATGTATATATATATATATATACATATATATATATGCTTGAAAGTATTTTATTGAATACTCTATTATAGTTTCCTGCCAAAAATTGTCTGTACAAATTAAAGTCTAAACAATTTTTAAGATTTTCTATTATGTTGATAACATAATTATTGATGCTATGTATGATTTAAGCCTAAATATAATTTTTTATGAATCATTTTTGAACAAAAAAAAGTCAACTATTATTGGGAGAGCATCTGTCAGTGAGGTGGTTGGGTTTCTTTTCTTAATTGGTTGATGTAACTGTGAATAAATATTACTTAGTGCTGAAATAAAGGAGGCTAAGCCTTCATCTAAGTTAATGCCAGATTCATCTTTCCTAACCACTGCTTCCTGCCACACTTATAATGATGCCTTATCATCTACTATACAACATCTAAATTTTCAAGTCTTATTTTTTAAGACCCTTCGTTATTTGGTCTTACTTTTCCTATTAAATATTATCTACTATTACCTTCTGCTAGGAAGTCTGTTCCATTCAAACTTCCTCATTTTCCCCTCTGACTATCAGACAAGTATGTCTGCACTTTCCCTCCATCCCTGTGATGCCCTCGATCATTCTTTGTACCTCCCTCAATCTCATTCCTCTTTCTGAGGTGCGGCACATAGCTCCCCGTCTGGGAAATCTTCCTGGACTCCAATCACTCTTTCTCTCTTGCATGTTGTTTCCTCTGCTCTGACATTCTGTACTGTACAAATAGTACCTGATTATGTACTGTGCTTTACCTATGTATACTTAATTACATACCACATAAAATTTAGTATTTTATTATACACTCCTTTTCTCCTTTAATTGTTTCAGGTCTTGTCAACCAGACCATAATTTGTTCCTATTATTAGCTTTTTATGAGAAGTGCTGTGAACTTTTCCGCGAGCTCAAAGAGATTTTTGAACCCAGAGAAAAGATATCAGAGGGAAAACTAAAGGTTTTCAAGTTCAGAACAATGGTTTTCCATTTCCACTGATGCTGAAAACAGTGTGTCTTTTCATAACAGTAGGAAGGCTATAGCTCAAACAACAGGAGGAATACATTTGTAAGAAGCAAGAATAAATCGTATTACAGATTATTAACAGTTACTAAGAGTTTGAAATTGCTTTCCTTTAAGGATCTTTTAGAATCACATGATGGGCTATTCAAGATCTACAATTTCCTCAAGGAAGTCAGAGCTTATGATTCTAGGCTTTCATGAAAATCAAGGCTGACACTTCATCTAACCCCCCCCCCCGATGGCCATCCAAAGCGGCTCTGTCCCTTTGCCTCTTTCTTTCCCTCTCTCAGTGGTTATGACTACAGAAGCATCTAGGAGACGATTTCTGTGGCACATATTCTCATCAGGCCCTTTGACAAACTCAAGGATGCTCCTTTTCTATAGAGTTGGGTGATGAAGGCAATATCACCAAGCAGGACAATCGTCAGGTTCTAAAGACGCTTTGCTTAGCTCCCGACAGAAGCTCTACCTGTAGGCCGCGGTGCAGGTGTCCTTATACTCCTGGAGCTTCACACACACCATGTTGAGGAACTGATCCGAGTACGCACTCAAGTCATGCATCAGGTTCAGGAGGTCTTGCACTGTCTTCTCCACTATGATTGTGCTCTGGGAAGGGACGCAGAGAGAGAGAGAGGACACGGAAACTCATGAGTATTTTTCACTGATGTAATGTGTACGACAAGGATGGACAACTACAAGGAGGCGATCGTTTAAGACACTTGAGCTCTCCTGGGAGGATGCGACATTTAAAAATACTGATTAAAAATGACAACAGAGTAAGTATCTTCCACAGGGCTGGCCTCCCAAAAGACCTGAGAAAGTGTTTACTGGGGAAGGACAGAGGACAGGGATTTTCAAATTGATTTCATGGAATTCTGAGCATCCACAAGACATCGCTGTGGCTTTTCAGAAGGAGAATACACATTCAATTGGGGCCCGCTGTATCACCTTCAGGGCTCTATTTTGAGGCAAGGGACCTATGACAGGCAGCACAAAAAAGAAAGCCTCCCAAGAGTTGTTTTACAAGTTTCAAAACCGTCAATCTATTAAGAATAACAACTAGCATTTGCATTGTGCCTTACAGCTTGTAGAATGTTTTCACATACACAGCATATGTTATTTCCCTCGAGACTCAGAGGATAATCAAGAACATTTACTGGGCTCTTATATGTGCAAAGTATAGTGCTAGGCGTGCTACCTGCATTACCTCATTTAATCCTCTCAACCCTCCTAGCCCAAGGTGAATCCTGGAACCACCCCCAGTTTAAAGATGAAACAGGCTTAGAAAATGGAAGTCACCAAAGAGGGCTCCAGGCTTTGCTCTCTTAACTCCACCATTCTGTCTCTGGGCTAGACCTTAGCTCTGTCTGCGGCCCAATTACTTTCTCATGAAATCACAGTATTTCCTATTGTAGTTGCCACTGTAGGGGCAGTGTCCAAACAGACTCAGATGTCCTTTAGTAATGAATTAGAGCAATCTCCACGGGAAAAAAATGAGCCCGTCTTACAGCTAGAGTGCAAGGGTACGTACTGTGCAGCAAATTGGCGCTGCACCTGAAAAGAGGCATATTTAGTCAACGCTTCATCTTTAAGAAAAGGCTGAGTTGTTGAATCATTCATTCATGCCTCTTTCAAAAGGAGCAGAATTACACTAGAGTAAATATTCATCACCTGCTCAGCAGCTTGGAATGCTATGGTCAATAAATGATTTGGTGAGTCCGTGTTTATTTACATGGAGTTACCTAAGCTACAGTAGACTTAGCCATACAAGTAAACATTAAAAACAATAATTTTTTTCCAGTCTGACAGTGACCCATAAAAGAATCAGAGGCATTTTATTATGCTTAAATGCAGACTATGGGGTACAGGGTTTTGGTTAATTTTTTTTTCTCCCCAAAATAAAAAAGTACAAAGGACAAAAATGGACAGCTTTTCTCAACACAGTGGAGGATCAGCTTGAGTTAGCGTTTACATATGTATGGTCACTCAAGATTACTTGCTTGTAGAGGTTTCTCATCTTCTTTCCCTGTCTTCCCTTCTCACCACTGCCCCAAAATAAAACAATCAGAAGGCAAAAAGGAAGGAATCGTTATATTCTGCAAGGCAAACCAAATTACAGTCTCTGTAGACTCCCCACAAGTTCAACTTCCTTTTCTGTATTGATTTTAAGATTAAAACACTGCCGCTTCACCCTGATCCATAATCCCCTTTCTCTGTAGTTGTGTGTGAGTGACAGGAATTGATTGTGCTCAGCTACATGTCCCCATGCTGCTGAGAAGAATTGAAAATCCTCGTCCTGATTTGGAACACAGGATACCCTACAGCATGTAGACAGCCATTAATAAAGGAGAGTGGAGTTCAGCCATCCCAGCCAAGCCCATTTGAAACCTAAAACACCACAAGAAGATGGGCACGGGGAGATTGCTCAGACTGAGAGAAGGGCCTGGGTCCACTCCTCATTGTGCTATTGATAATCGACTCCGGGGCAGGTCTCGGTAACCTCTTCCTTGCTAATGACCCAATTTAGCCTTCTAATAACCAAGGATACTCTGATGGCTCCTGTCATCTACTGGCACTCATCACTCAGGTATCCGAGTGCTGCCCTGGTGCTTTGATGCTTAGGAAATCAAGTCCTGTGTAAGCGTTTTAGGTCGTCCCAGGTGTGTGCCTGGTCTTCCTGGTTATTGGCCTCTCCAAAGCAAGGCTGGCTTTCCTCTCTTCCTTTTGTCCATCTCCCGTCCTTCCCTTCTCCCACTTGTTTATAATTTCGCAGGATCTTCAGGATAATACTACTGATAAAAGAAACAGTTGTAATAACGCTCATACACGTACATAAACCTCTCTGAATGTCATATACGCATATGTGAGGGGTGCTGACACAGACACCTTTGCACTTTGAAATCTCTTTGGGTGGATTCGGTTTGGTCTGCGTTTGTTTTATCCACAGTGCTTTCAGGTGACTGCAACTGTTCTGATGGCCCTGGGAGAGAAAGGGGGGACTGTGAGCATTGAGGAATACCCCTTGGAGAAAACAACAGTTATAGGGCAAACAGGAAGTACCTGCGGGGAATGATTAGAATGCGGGTTTAATTTGAATGGCTGGGCTCCATAAAGGGCCTCTGTGATGCTATATGATTACCTACAATTTTCCAGCTATTTGGTTGGTTTACCTTGTCATAGTAGCACTCTGGATAATCAATAACTACATTCTCTTCAAGGAAAATGACACTGTAGTTTGCCAAATGATGGGTATTTTTACAAGGGATAAAAAGTTCCCATTTTTCAAGAATTTATAACAATTTCCAAATCAGTGGCTCTGACAGATAAATGTGGAAAATATCAAATTTCTAACCAAGTCAATTCTGTTTTTATTTATATGGTCTCTTTGGTATCACAAATGACTCATTGATTCATTATTAATTTGGGGATTTGCCAATGTCAAATATAATGACTTCTAATAAGTAAAACCCTGGTTTGATTCATTATAATTTCTATTCAAAAGATCACACATGATTGATATTTGTTTAGAAACAATGCAATTCTCATTTCTTGCAACTTATTACCAGGTAATAAAGTCTGGGCATGACATGAAAAATGAGAAAAGGAACAAGAAAATCCCAGAATAGAATAGCTGATGCAATTAAAAAGCCATTGCTATGAAAAATAAACAACTAAAGTTTATTACAGAGATCCACCAGCAACCTAAAATACAAAGAGAGTGTGTGAGGGCCAGCTCTCTGGTTCTGCACTTTGAAAAAGTTTAATGAACGAACACATGAACGAATGAATGAATGAAGATGGTTGGACCCTTGAGGCCTTGTCCACAGTTTGTCAAAATAGGGCTCTGCAGTATGATACTGATATTAATATTATGGAAAATTGGCTCTGAGTTCAAATAATTTAACAAACGCTGAGTTAAAGAAAACCGAACTGGCTTCTTCACTGAAAGATTTTGAAAACTTTTAACATGCTAATGTCATTGCAAATCTTAAAGAGGGGAATGTAGAATTCAATCTTCCCCTAACAATTTAAGTAAAGAAAACATTTTTCATAGCATACCTTTTCACATCTAATGGAACAGTGTTTCCAGTACATGGTTTGGGAACAACACTCCCCCTGGTTCTCTGGTCATACTGATGACACTAGGCCCAAAGAACATGCTTGGGGACACTTAGGAGCTGTGGTAGGAAGTGTGAGAACCCAGGTCTCTTTCTTCTCAGCCCATGCCTTTCACACGCCTAGCCTTTTAAGCTCTAGCTCCTCCCACCTTTCCAGCCCTCTCTCCAGCTGCACTGCGCATGCCCACCCATGCTCGGGCCACACTAAATTACTTCCTGCCTCTGTGCCTTCAAGATTCACAACTTCTGTGCCTGGGATGCCCTTTCTAGCTCTTGCCTTTCATCCTTGAAGAGTCAGCTCAAGGGTCACCTGCTCTGATGTAAATGCCCCCCTTCTGTGCTATCAGAACACCCTGGCATAATTTTAGCTCAAGTCCCAAAATGGGTGTGGCGACCTCTGGTTCACTTGTCTGTTTCTCCCACGAGACTGAAAGTTCCTTTTGACCCGTGATCATACCGTCGTATCTCTAATAGCGAACTAGTAAGGCACCTGGCATGTTGTGGATGCTCGATAAATGTTTATCAGGTGAACTGATGATGCAAATACAAAGCACAAAGTCAGGGTGAAAACACAGGTTTAGAGGATAATTATAACGCCAAATAGTGGCTTAAAAGTCTGATTTGCTGAGGTGGAGCCAGACCACAGCCTCTCCATTACTATATCACTGTATCTTAATTTCCAAGGTTCTAAGACTGAACCTTGTCACTAAAGGTCTTAGATTTTTTTTTTTACAAAAATATCCTAATTTCATCTGATTCTAGTCTTTTCTATAATAGCAATCTAATATATATATATGTGCAATTAAATGTGCTAATGATGAAGTTTTAAGACAAATAAATTAATTCTCAATTCAGAAAAAAAAAAGGCAAAAAACCTTTAGTTTGGACCCTGCAGACTCTGTATTTGTGCTGTTTTAGCCCCTGGAGCAGGGATGGTTCAGAGATGCTGCAAAGAACCTAGGGTTCCGGGAAATCGCTTCAGAAAGAATTTCAAAGACAACAAAAGATAAATCATTTATCACTTGAGACACACCCCACCAACACCACACACACACACACACACACACACACACACACACACCAGCAACTGTGAAGGCAGGGGGCTATGTGAATGGTGATGACACTAATGTTTCTGTTTATTTGGATTCACTCAACTACACTTCAGTAAAGCCTGCCATACCATACTGTCCTTACAATTACTGTCAGCTCCAAGTTGTTGCTGGCTGTAAACACTGATAACCGTGGGCTACGGTGGGGGTCACTTTGTAGTGTATACAAATGTCCTATTATAATGTTGCGTACCTGGAAATTATATAACGATACCAATTTTACCTCAATTACAAAAAAGAAGTGGTAACTGCAACAATGACAGTAATGACAGAAGCCAGAAGGAAATCTGCTTCCTGTTTTTTAATCTATATTTTGATTTTTGTGATGCTGAGAATTTCTGAATGTGTTTGCTGTTTTAATGAGCCAGCTGGTGAGAGG